ATATCAAATAATTCAAACGATACAGCAACATATGAATTACCTGTAGTTGGGCATACGATGGGACCTGGTACCTGTACCTCACTTATTGACCCTCACTGTGCACTTTCATTGGAAACATTCAACTTAAACCTTTTAAATGAGGTCACCGCTGTGTTTGGAGTAGCATTATGATAAGCAGGCATGGCCAGTGGACAGCTACTCTCCTGAACCCTTCAAAAACTCACTAGTATTAGTTTTTCATCCTCCTTGCTGTCTGGAGTTAGTTTATGTAATTACAGGCCACTTTTACAGGCCGCTTGTCTTGATCCAAACAGCTCTGTGGCTCTTCTGAGAGGAGAGGACACTGATCTCATTTAACTTTACTTACTTCCCATGTCTCCCGATAACAGAGCGTTGTAATCCACAAGCTTTTTACGTCATCCTTGCAAGAGAGTCTCCACATGAAAAGCGGTGCTTTAAGCTAAATCGATACACTGTTTCCTCTCCTCTAAACTTCATTAAGCATAGACATTGCAGTATTCTCAGCCCAGGTGTCCAGCACCCAGAGAGAAGAGAACTGATTGTAAGAACTGGGAGGATACAGTGCAGGACAAGCATTTGACTATGGCTCTCATTAATGTCTGCTATCTAAAAGAGAAATGCACGGCATTACAAGAAATTATTCTCTTGTAGCTAATGAGAAAAAAGAAAGTTCACACAGAGACGCCCACCTTCTCTGACACATAGTTAACATTTATTTGATAGCGTCGGCAAGGTTCTTTGCGATGTATCCCTCCTCCTTAGCTTGAAGTTATATAACCACAGTATTGTCCTGACATTTCTCCTCATCGGGCGAGTGAAACAACGGCGCTGCCTCGTGATTCGCTCCAATGCACGCTCGGCGAACGGTTGTATCTCTGTTTGCTTCGGTTACACCAGTGAGTCAGCGGCAGAATCCCACGTCTCACCAACTGCTTGGAAGGGAAAACACGAGGAGCCACTCAGAAACGTCCAAGCATGAAGGGCCTGTGCGCAGTGTAGTGGTGTCACTGCGTGTTCGAGCACTATTTATTGCTTCACAGACCCTCTGATAGTTTTTATGGGTCTCTCTCTCTGTGCCTTGTGAGTGGGTGTGAGGGTATCTTAGCCAAAACTACAGATTTTTTTCTTCTTTGCAGATCCATAAGTATTTGGACAGTGACATAATTTGAGGTATTTTGCCTGCGTATGTCAGTACATCCATCCTTTTTATTTAAATTATTCAGGTCCAGCTCTCTCTTTTTCCTCCTCATGAGCTCCTGCTGGTTGGACATTTCCGAAACCTTACCTGGGAAGTGTCCAGGAGACGCATCCTAGTTAGATTCGCAGACCACCTAAGCTTTTGATGCAGTGGCGCAGCAGCTTTGTACTCCCTAATGGCTAAGGACCTCATCCTCGCCCTACAAATGAGCACAGACGCCCACCTCATGAGGAAGCTCAGAGGTGAGGGTAGGAACAGAGATTGACTTGTAAATTGACGGCTTTACCTTCACAATCAGAGTTCTGTTTACCATATCAAGCCAGTTAATTACTTGTACCACCGCAGGAGCTGCACAGGTTCATCTGTTTTCCTCCTGCTCCACTCCTCCTGCCTATGAAAATGACCCCAGATGCTTGAGCTTTTCCACTTGAGACAGCAACTTATCTCCAACCTGGAGTAGGGGTCCACCCCTTTCCAGCAGACAACGACTTCAGACTTGAAAGTGCTCATTTTCCAACCTAGCTGTTGTTTGATGTTCTGGAAAGTGCTCCACAAACAGCAAAGAACTCCACCGATTTTAATGCAGTTTTAAACATAAGAATTCTTCGAATACTCGGATGCAGTCTTATACAGTCAGTAACCACGGACATCTTCAAATGCTGATTTTTCTACCTTAAGATGCTCTGCCAGGCTTTCACTGCAGCGCCATCAGTTGTTGCTCGTTTGTGGGTCTTGCTGCTGTTCAGCCATCTGTGCTATGAATCACTGTCCCACAAGTTTTTCAGCATTTGGCTAAATCTCAGCAGAGTAAAGCCGTTTACTCTTCAGCATTCCTCCTGCTACTTCTATCAGCGTTCACATCCTCAGTAAACTTCTATTCCATTGGCAGCTGAACATGCTCGTGGATCACACTGCTTCTGCCATGTTTCACAGATGATGTGGCATGCTTTGGATCTTCTACAAGTTGATCTTGTAGAAGATCCAAAGGAAAAAATGTTCCAAAACTGGGGAGGAATGCACCAAATACTTCAGATTGATTTGGACACTGCTAAAGTTTCTGCTACTGCTAATATTTCTGTGTGGCTGTAAATCTATTAACAATCATGGAACATTTTTCCATGAAGCTGAAAGTCTACATTTCTGCCACAACTTGATTATTTCATTTGAATCCATTGTGGTGCTGTACCTGAGCAAAACTGAAATTTTTTTTACTGTGCATAGAATTTGGGACCTTAATAAAGCTATTATTTAATATCATTTATAATATTTTCAAGTAAATTGTGGATTTGTGATTGTGTGTGTGCCTAAAACACCTTTAAAACAACCTCAAGGTAGTTTTATTGCATCTCGCTGTGATTTATTCATAATTTGACATCCAGAAAAAATGACGAAAATATCAGATAATTAATCCAGAATTAAAATTCATATCAATCTGTACGAAAGAAATAAATATATAATACAGCTCTACAGTATATAAATCCCGTTAGACTTCCCGTCTCACAGGTGTAGGAAGAAAAAGTTTTGAGGCATCTGTGAGCAGTTGTTGCTTTGAAACCACTTTCTACCTAAGATTTTAGTCCCTGTTGGAACTAGAAAACTGATCTTACTGTTTCTGTGCTTCTTGTGAATTGTTTAAATATTCTTCTGCTTTGAAATCTATCCAGGTGGAAATGTGTATCTCAGAGAAAAAAAAATTCAAATTTGAGTGTTAAATTCAAATTTCAAGTGCATTTGTCAAAGGAAAATATAGGCTATAGCTATACATGTTTATGAAGCATCCATTACCTTTTATACAAAGACTAAGT